CAGCCAATTGGTGACTCAAGGCGGTTTCCAACAAATCAGTATACATAAAACATAATATAGATTAAAAAAACATTAAACAGTATAAGACATCACAAAAGCACTAAAAACAACATCATCAGCGTCTCATTATTCTCAAGCATTGTCCAGTTCCATTGTCAGGTCATTCAATTTCCTATATTAGCTACGGTGTATTTGTAAACGCTTGCTCAAATAGCCACGTTTTAACTTGCCTCCGAAACATCAAGAGGGAGGGAGCTGATCTGATCTCCCTAGGGAGGACGTTCCATAGCCAAGGGGCCACCACTGAGAAGGCCCTGTCTCTCGTCCCCACCAAACATGCTTGTGACGAAGGCGGGACTAGAATCATAGAATCAAAGAGTTGGAAGAGACCTCATGGGCCATCCAGTCCAACCCCCTGCCAAGAAGCAGGAATATTGCATTCAAATCACCCCTGACAGATGGCCATCCAGCCTCTGTTTAAAAGCTTCCAAAGAAGGAGCCTCCACCACACTCCGGGGCAGAGAGTTCCACTGCTGAACTGCTCTCACAGTCAGGAAGTTCTTCCTCATGTTCAGATGGAATCTCCTCTCTTGTAGTTTGAAGCCATTGTTCGCGTCCTAGTCTCCAGGGAAGCAGAAAACAAGCTTGCTCCCTCCTCCCTGTGGCTTCCTCTCACATATTTATACATGGCTAATGGCTATCATATCCCCTCTCAGCCTTCTCTTCTTCAGGCTAAACATGCCCAGCTCCTTAAGCCGCTCCTCATAGGGCTTGTTCTCCAGACCTTTTATCATTTTAGTCGCTCTCCTCTGGACACATTCCAGCTTGTCAATATCTCTCTTGAATTGTGGTGCCCAGAATTGGACACAATATTCCAGGTGTGGTCTAACCAAAGCAGAATAGAGGGGTAGCATTACTTCCCTAGATCTACACACTATGCTCCTATTGATGCAGGCCAAAATCCCATTGGCTTTTTTTGCCGCCACATCACATTGTTGGCTCAGACTAAGAGCAGGGCCTCCCCCGATGACCTTAAAGTCTTCAGTGGTTCGTAAGGGGAGATCCGTTTGGCCAGGTAAGTTGGGCCAGAACCATTTAGGGCTTTATAGGCCAAAGCCAGCACTTTGAATTAGTATTACTTAGGTAATAGAGATGTTAGTCGGTTTATGAATGTACATGTTAATGATAGTGTAAACATTAGCCCATTAAATAGGTATTAGTATAGACCAGGCATGGACAAACTTCAGCCCTCCAGGTGTTTGGAATTCAACTCCCACAATGCCTATCAGCTGGTAGGCATTGTGGGAGTTGAAGTCCAAAACACCTGGAGGTCCGAAGTTTGTCCATGCCTGGGATAGACCTTGTGAATTGTTGATATGCTTTGCAAAGTTATGTCTAATTGTATCAAAAAATATCATCAACATCATGTACTATTAAGAAAAATTGGGATATTTGTATAAGGCTAGGAATCTTATGATTGGCAGGAACATTCCAAAGCAGTTAATGGCAGTTAGGAAATTCAAGGGAAAGGAGATATTAGGCCGGCTGAGGAAGAAAAGGCCACAGAAGCCAAGGTATTTAATTTGTGTAGTACTTCAAGACAATACTTATGAGTTATTAACATATAATAGGGAGTCCTGGTTTATTTTTCAAACATGTCTGTACATTGCCTCTGCACATAAACTCCCCCTGCTGATATTTGACACTCACTGCCTCCCATTTTTCAGCATAGATTTGTGTGATTATATGTTAATAAAACCTCATAGAAATAAGATGTTCGATCAAATGTTATTTAAATATTATTATTATTCATATACTTAAGGAGACTAAGCACTAAACAGTGGTAAAAAAAATACAATGTGTGATTTCAAACCTTTAAAATAGAATTAAACTGAGAACTATCTAAGAACAAATAATTAAAACTCATTAAAATTGATTTAAAATACATAAAGCCGCACCTATCTTGTAGAATAATTGCAGTTTGACACCACTTTTAACTGCCATGGCTCAATGCTATGGAATAATGGGAGTTGTAGTTTTGTAAGCCTCCTCTGCCAAAGACTGTTGGTGCCTCACCAAACTACAAATCCCATTTTTCCATAACATTGAGCCATGGCAGTTAAAGTGGTGTCAAACTGCATTCACTCTTCTTACAAAGTAGCTAGGCCTCAAGTCATACTGAGCAAAAAAGCAAACTTTTAATCCTTTCAATACAGTTATAGCACTGATGTACAAGAAACATTCCTGTTTATGTTTATTTTTTAAGTTTGTTTTTAAAAGCACTAAATGTTTACAACTTTATTTTTAGGAAACTGCATCTCCAGAAGTCAATATACATAGTTTTACAGAAGGCCTTTGGAAAAAAATAAGGTAAGTCGGTTTTTAATGAAAATATCTGTATCTATATATATATACATACATGCATACATACATACATATATAATTACAGCAGACTTTCATTTAACCATCACCCATGGGGATTGGTAGATGACAAATAGTTTCTGGTTGCTTGAGAGTTACTGTTAAAATGAGCCTAATACTATACCCCAAGCTCTGTACTGACTTGCTATTAATATTGATACTAATACTATACCCCAAGCTCTGTATTGACTTGATATTAATATTGAAATACAGCAGTTACAAGCAAATAAAGACAATATTAATTTAACATAACACTACTTTATTGTTTTACTGTATTATAAAAACAGCTTATTTTAATTTAAAGTATTATTTCTTTGATTTGTTTGCCGATTGGTTGAGGGTGCCAGTGGCTTGAGTTCTGGTTAACTGTATGTGTACGCATGTGTATATATATGTATATGTGTGTGTATGTATATATTATTATTATTATTATTATTATTATTATTATTTCCAATCTTTCTATCCCGCCCTTCTCAACCCCCAAGGGGGGTCTCAGGATGGCTTACAAACTGGCCACAATTCAAAGCCTCAATATAATGCAAATATAAACACAAATAGCAACAGTTTAAAACAGTAAATAAAACATTAAGTTAAAAACACGTTAAAAACATTGTCATCAACCATATTGCCAATTTCAGTCCAGTTCAACATCCAAGGTGCTGTCATGCTTGCTGTCCAAAGGCTTCGTCCCAGAACCATGATTTGACCTTCTTCCTAAAAGCAAGGAGGGAAGAAACTGACACACACACACACACACAGTCGAGTCTCGCTTATCCAAACTTCACTCTTCCAACATTCTGCATTATTCAATGCAGTCTGCCTCCCACCCGGATCCAAAGCTGTTTCAATACATTGCGATGTTTGGGTACTAAATTTGTAAATACAGTCATTATTACATAATGTTACTGTGTATTGAACTGCTTTTTCTGTCGAATTGTTGTAAAACGTGATGTTTTGGTGCTTAATTAGTAAAGTAATTTGATGTTTAATAGAATTTTCCTTAATCCTTCCTTATTATCCAACATTTTTGCTTATCCAGTGTTCTGCCGGCCCATTAATGTTGGAAAAGCAAGACTCTGTGAGTGTGTGTGTGTGTGTGTGTGTGTGTTCATGGTTTCTCATTCAAGTCTTTCTGCACTTAAATAGATATAGGTAGGTGCATGTCAGATAATAATAATAATAATAATAATAATAATAATAATAATAATAATATACTTTATATTCCGCTCTATCTTCCTGAGGGGATTCAGGGCAGAACACATATATGGCAAACATTTAACACTGTTATACAATTAACAAGGGCAGACAATACATAAACAGAGGTAAAGACTTTCCCCATCTTTTCCATTTCCGGCATCTGGAGGCTGTGCTCAATTCCAGCCACAGAGGGTGCTGTTGCTCCATCTTCCATGCCAACGAGCTTTGTAATCCTTAGACATCCTCCCAATCAAATCACCAGCATGTCCTTATGGGCTTCTTGTATTACCTCCCCACTCAAAGCGATACCTATTTATCTACTTACGTTTCTGTTTTCAATCTGCAAGCTGGGCAGGAAGCTGGCGCTGACAGCAGGTACTCACCCCAATCCGGGCTTGAACTGCCAACCTTTCAATTGGCAGGATTTTCTGCAACTTAGTGGTTTAACCCACTGAACTAAGCCCTGTCCCTTATTATTATCATTATTATTATTATTATTATTATTATTATTATTATTATTATTATTATATTTCAGATCTGTTTGCACTCTCAGCCAGCTAGCCATTGTTTCATACAAACCCAGTTTATACTGGAGTGTATGTAAACATACATGGAGAAATCTACCATCCTCAAACAACCACCAATCAAACACAAAATGTTAATGATGAGTACCATCGCTTTACACTCAGTGTTGGCCTTTGACTAAATTCTCAATGTTAAATTAGACATCATGATGATAATGCTTCCAAAGGAAACTCACAACTAGGATGTAAAAGATGTAAACACACACGAGTCATCTGAATGGGATTTAAGCAGCATTTAAGTATTATGCTGAACTGCAGCCCAGATAATGCTGAATTAACTAATGTCTTCTATGCAAATTGCCCTCCGAATCCACAGATTCTGCATCTAGATTCTGCCCTATTAAATCTATGCAAACAGGAGTCCTCTTTCAGCAAACTGATGGCTCAAATCTATATTTATATCAATGTATATCTTGTGACTTGATTGTGTTGATTTTTATGCTTTTGGAAATGCACATTTTCCTGTACGATATTTTAAGATTTATAGCACAATTCACAGTTAATGTCTAGGCTTAAAAAACACTTCTTTTCCAACAGTGCAGATTTTCAAGAAATATTAGCAAAATTAATATCTTGTAAGAGCAACATCCATTAATAATTATTACTAATGAAGCAGATGACCAGTCTGTAAGGTTGGGTAAAATTGTTTTATGGATCTTATAAATGTTTATATATGACTGTCAGTAAAACAGCCTCCTGTGGCAGAATTGCTTTGAGTTTAGCATTGGAAGAGATTGTCCAGAAAGACAGTGAACTGTGGCAAAACATTAACTAGAAGGTTAAATAATTGTTTTCCAGTGCGTCATCCAAATTGAGAGACATCTTGCAAACATCCGCGGAGAACATATATTTTTCGTGTTTTAATTCTACTCCTGAATCTTCTTAACCTGTTTTAGGTAAAATATTTTTATATATATTTGTTGCAGTGTATACCTTGAAATCAACAGGAATCATGATCTATTTACTGTCCCATTAAATTAAACGGGTCTATTCCAAGTATGACACCGGGTGCACCTACTCTGTAGAATTAATGCAGTTTGACACTACTTTAACTACCATGGCTCCACACTATGCAAACCTGGGAGATGTAGTTTTACAAGGCCTTCAAGTCTTTTGTCAATGAGTGCTGGTGTCTCACAAAATTAAAACTCTCACGATTTCTCCACATATAGTACATTTTGAATGCAAGCAAAAAATTAGAAGAAAATGCATATTTTTATACTATAATTTGATGCAATGTCTTGTTCAGTCTCAAATGTGCAGTCCAATTAATTCATGTTTAAGTTATCTTTATTTATTTTTAGCCCCTCGTGTCATAGATAAGGTTGTAACCATGGGAACTAAAAGCTAAAACATTTCCATCCTATATTACGGTAATATTCTTGTGCTGTGTGTAGGTGCCTTTATGTTTTCTTAGTTAAGGAATAAATAGAGGTGGTTTTGACAGGTTTTTTCTCTGAAATATGGCTACAGCACCTATATTCATTAGTGGTCTCCCATCCAAACACTTACCAGGGCTGGCCCAGCTTAGCTTCAAAGATCAAAAGGTTTCTAGTGCTTTTCAGATATCTAGGGCCTGTTCTTACAGGTTGTCTCAACTGTAAAAAAAAAATTGAACTTGCTTACAAGTATTTATGCATTTTGATTCCTTAGGACAGCCTAGGTGTTTCCCGATAGAAAACGACACCGTTCCATTATCTAGGTGGACTCGAAAAGGGGGCCAAGACAGAGAAGGGTAGTCCATTTTATTGGGGGGGGGAGTTGAAGGAGGAAAACTATTTTCCCTGGTTTTTGCTGGTCATTCCCCCTTTCCCATTTTATAAATGAGGGTTGTTTCCACAACCAGCAAAATGGGTGGGGGGGGGGATAACAGGAAAACAGAGGGAAATGGCTTAACTCCTTCAACCACCTTCCCCCCATAAAGTGGATATTCCTTCTGTCTAGCACCCCCTAGTGGACTTTGCCAGATAATAGAATCCTACCTAGAAAACTTTTAATACTACTGTATTTATCAAAGTTTTTTATCCTAAATCGGTGGTTCCCAACCTGTGGTCCATGGGTCACCAGTGGTCCTCAAGATCTGAAATATGATCCACATCCTCACCGTTACAGTGTTGCAATGAAAGCAACTGATTTCATGAAACCCTCTTATACAAATACTGAGGCTTATTAAATATGTTTTTCTATGGGTGAGCAGATGGAGACTACTAAATAGATGGCTTAAGTTCTATATCAGATATATATATATAGTTTCGGCATTAGGATAGGTGACCGGGACAGGATAGGGATTCTGTTAGTGTACCAACCACCCCACTGCACTGCAGTCTCCCTACCTGAGCTAGCAGGGGTGGTCTTGGACCTGGTCAAAGAAAAAGGTTGGGACCCACTGTCCTAAATGAAAACATCCCACAAAGAAAACAGAACCAGCTTGGGTAAATAAGTGGCTTCTAATCAACGATCATAATATCTGGAAAAATGTATTTGGCGCAACACTGCAAGATCAAAGAAATCCTTGGGAAAAAAATTTAATCTCAGGTGGTTTGTTTTGCTTTATTGCAGTAATATAGTATTGGTACTGGAGAGACCTCTGGTGGCCAACTAATAATGTTGTAAAAGGGAGCATCTAAAAACATACAGCTCCACCCTGTAGAAATAAAGGCAGGAGCTTTATTTGAGTCCACTTTATAGACTTTTATAGTAAAGCCAGACCTTTAAAGTAAATAATCCAATGTTCATTTCAAGTTACAGCAACTAATTTCGGGTATCTGCAAAGAACTGACTGGGTATAATGACATTCCACTGAAATGTATTCATCAGCTTATGATTTAAGCTACTAACATTTGCCATCTTTTCCTTAATGGGAATCCTTTGATGCAAGGTCAAAAGAAACCGAACACCTTGCTGTTCTTTGGAATTTTAACCCAATTCCTGTAAACCAGTGGTCCCCAATCTGAGGTCCATGGACCACCAGTGGTCAACAAGAACGAAAACATGGTCCGTGGCCTCACCGTTACTACACCACATGGCACTGAGAGCAACTAGTCTTGAGAAACCCTCTTATAGTGCCAAGGCAACAGGGTTGTCAGAGGGAAGAGGCTGACTACCCACAAAAGATTATGACTACCATATACGCTCTAGATTATTAAATTTGGTTTTCTGTGGGCGAGAAGATGGTGACTACTAGATGGCATATATTCTATATCAGGAAGTCGAGCTGATGTGGTCTATCCAATGCAATTTTCTGAATCAGCACCACAAAAAAAAACCCCACCAAATCTAAAGTTGACCAAACACCGTTTCATAATTCTTTTGGTACTAATGTTGGAGAGCGGTCCCTGATCGAGAGAAAAAAATAAAAACTTATCTCGGTTATAAACTTTGCAAAGATAAGTTTTAAATGTTTTTTGTTTGTTTGGTTTAGTCCAAGCTGGGTTTTTTGTTTTGTTTTTGTTTCTTTTTTGCTTTACAATCACACTTGTGGGAAACTAAATGGCATCCCTGAACAATAAAATTGGTGATGCAGAATTATTCTTGTTTTCGAAGATTTTACATGACTTTACACTGCTTACATTTAATGGGGCTTCTGTCGAATTCTGTAAACTATTTTGAATATTTCAGGACAGTACTGAATTTTGAATATTAAGTGACATTATTACAAGGACTATTTTATTTATTGTGTCAGAAGCAAATTGAGAAGATGTATTGTCGAAGGCTTTCATGACCGGAATCACTGGGTTGTTGTAGGTTTTTTTTCAGGCTATATGGCCATGGTCTAGAGGCATTTTCTCCTGACGTTTCGCCTGCATCTGTGGCAAGCACTTCAGAGGTAGTGAGACCCTCACTACCTCTGAGAATGCTTGCCATAGATGCAGGCGAAACATCAGGAGAGAATGCCTCTAGACCATGGCCATATAGCCCGAAAAAACCTATAACAACCCAAATTGAGAATAGTTATAATGTATAGAAAAATCAGAACCAAAGTTAAAAACTTGGCATTATATTACATTTCTTTTGACCAGAAGCTGGCCACTTGGGAGTGCTTTGGGTGTTGCTGTAAGTTCCTCCACTGTGCATGTGGCAGTGCTCAGACTGCATTGTAGTAAGTGGTCTGTGGCTTGCTCTTCTCCACATTCGTATGTCACGGACCCCACTTTGTAGCCCCATTTAAGGTTAGCTCTGCATTTGGTGGTGCCAGCGACTTCCAAGTTGCCCAGCCTTCTGTGTGCCCAGGAGGGAGTTTTTCATCTGGTATCAACCACCGACTGAGGATCTGTAATTTAACCTGCCACTTTTGGGATCTCGCTTGCTGAGGTGTCCCTGCGAGTATCTCTGTAGATCTTAAGAAGCTATTTCTTGATTTCAGGCATTGGCTTGCTGGCTGATATCCAAACAGAGGATGGCCTGGAGATATCAAAAGGCTCACTAAAAGAACAAGTGACATTCAAATCCTTTCTCAAGCTTCACTGAACTCTTACTTTTTATTATAATTGCGATCTTAACTTTTTGAATTGCTCTGAGATTCTTGTAATTCTTGTAAACTTATGAAAAATATATGGAAATGAAAAAAGGTCTTTTAGAAATAAGGAAATAATTCAGTACAGGCAATCCCCGAGTTACAAATAAGTCATAGTTAAGAATGGGGCTGATACAACAAAAAGTGAGAGAAATCTACCCTTAGGAAAGGAAATTCACTCTTGGAGTTTTCATGGGGAAAAGGCATCTCCACCGAAACTTTATCACCAATCCTTGTTTCAACAAGCCAAATTGTTCAAAATCCAGTCATCACAGGGACAGAAAGTGTGGTGAAATTTTCTGAATAAAGGCCCAGGCAGCAAAACAAACACCACAGGGCTGTTAACCCTTCCCTGTGTTACCCAAAGCTTAAATAGTTACACTTCAAAAATGTACCTCTTTTGACTTACAAATTCAACTTATGAACAAACCTATAGAGCCTATCTTGTTTATAACTTGGGGACTGCCTGTATTCACTTAAAAATACTCTATATTTGCTCAGCAGTACAATTTTTAGGAAACTTTTAACAGGGGTCTTCATTGAGAGAAATTAACAAATCATGTATAATATTAACTTTATCATGGACAGATGGAGCCCGATCAGAAACATGATGACATTGCTATTTCTACACTTCAAGTTCAAGTGGATGATGTCAAAAATGTTATGACTCAAAATATTGAAAAGGTCTTGAAAAGAGAAGAGCGGCTGTCTGACCTGGCTGACAGAAGTGATGATCTTGAAACAGCGGTAACTCTTTATTTTACTCTGCAGAATATTCTTTAGTAGCAAAACTTCAGGTCCCTAAAGATCGGTCCAACTATCCCAATTGGGAACAATATGACCCTTGTATGCCAACGCAAGGCACCAGGCATCACTAGAAGCCCTCAGTGGCATAATGGGTTAAACCCTTGTGCCAGCAGGACTGCTGACTGAAAGGTTGTAGTTCAAATCCAGTGAGCAGGGTGAGCTCCCATCTGTCAGCTCCAGCTTCTTATGCAGGGACATGAGAGAAGTCTCCCACAGGATGGTAAAACATCTGGGCGTCCCCTAGACAACGTCCTTGCAGACGACCAATTCTCTCACACCAGAAGCGACTTGTAGTTTCTCAAGTCGCTCCTGATACAAAAATTAAAAAAGAAACGGGCATTGTTAACAAAAGAACTGGCCAACAGAGCACCTCAGAGGATTCTTCCATTTTTAAATATTTCAGGGAAAAAGACCTTGTTCTGATTAAACTGAAAAGATGACCAAAGGCATTAACTGGTTAAACAATTTCAGCTATATCTTACACAATTTTCACCACTGCCCCCCTTCCATCAACCCAATGGTGTGATAAAGTCATTTTTGGACCTTGTATGCTGATCCATAGATAGTATTTCGTTTTTCTAATACTTAATTTGCAGTTTAGTGTTTAAATCAGATTTCTCTAATGAGAAATCTGATTTAAACACTAAACTGCAAATTAAAAGAGCTTTAGAGAATGCTTTTTTGCAAATTAAAAGAACTTTAGAGAAAGCTTTTTTAAAAATCTATTTTTCCATCTGCTTTCAGGCTCATGGTTTCCAAAAAACCACTACAAAGATCGCAAGGAAGATGTGGTGGAAGAATACAAAAATGATCATCATAATTGTGGCGATTATCCTTGTTGTTGTGACTTTCATTGTTCTCCTGGCCACAGGTGTTATTCCAACATGAAGAATACAAGTAGCTAAATGGAACATATGGAGAATATGCTGTAAAATGTTCTGTATTAAACACATTTTGGTTTACTCATTTTTATATATAAAAATAAATATATATTTAACAGCTACTATACAGTAGTTGCACATGTAGTGCTTGTCTTCAGCTGGTAAGAAAGAAATGGGATCTCTCACCCAAAATTTTCATCAATTCCATGTTAAGTGACAGTCTATTAGAATGCTCACCTTAAACCTACGAACAAAATGCCTGAACTGAACTATGTATGTTAAATCTCAGAAGCATGTATTTTCAAGGGCATTTGCTGCCTCAGTTTTATTCTCTCCACTTCACAGCTATATCTATCTGCCCCTTTATATCTTTGAGTTAATCTGCCAAGTTCTACAAAAATTAGCAATTCTTAGTTTTTATATTTGAGACTAAATAAGAAAACATATTAAAAGGGAAGTTCATCCCAAGGCAGAAGTTTTTGCATGGATATGTTTTATGTGTGAGGCTGTGTTAAAAATACCATGTCTATGTTCTACTGTAGGATCTGGGAGGGTTCACCCAGTTGTTGTTGTTCATTCGTTCAGTCGTCTCCGACTCTTCGTGACCTCATGGACCAGCCCACGCCAGAGCTCCTGGTCAGCCATCACCACCCCCAGCTCCTTCAAGGTCAGTCCAGTCACTCCAAGGATGCCATCCATCCATCTTGCCCTTGGTCGGCCCCTCTTCCTTTTACCTTCCACTTTCCCCAGCATAATTGTCTTCTCCAGGCTTTGCTGTCTCCTCATGATGTCAACTTTGTCTCTAGTATCCTTCCCTCCAATGAGCAGTCGGGCTTTATTTCCTGGAGGATGGACTGGACGCAGGGAAATACCACAGGTGTGGATTTCACAGTACCACGCAGAAGAAGCATCGATCTTCCTTCGCTCAGCCTTCCCTAAGGTCCAGCTCCCACATCCGTAGGTTACTACAGGGAATACCATGGCTTTGACTAGGCGGATCTTTGTTGCCAGTGTGATGTCTCTACTCTTTATGATTTTATCAAGACTGGACATTGCTCTCCTCCCAAGAAGTAAGCGTCTTCTGATTTCCTGGCCACAGTCTGCATCTGCAGTAATCTTTGCACCTAGAAATACAAAGTCTGGAGGTTCACCCAGTTACCAGCAAATAATTATCAATACATAGTGAGTCAGATGTTGACAATTTATAAATGTTGCCCTATTTAATTCAACTGCTGCGGTGTTTTTCCTATATATCTATTTCTATAATTATCCTAAACATTTTAAATCAAAGTGTTGGTATCTAGGTACCACCTGCCACAACATTTCATGGCCAACATGAGCAATCCCCAGTCTGTGGGGAATAGCCATGGGACTGGTATTTGTATCATCTGTTTGTGTTTCCATTTCATTCCATCCATTCGGATCGCACGGAACGGGAAGTCCTCTCCTGGAACAAAAATGAACTCGATACGAAAGGCAGGTGAGAGCGGGTACCGGCTTCAAGCCTGCTTTTCAGCACCAGTGTTATAGAGAGAAGAGGGATTGCGTTGAGGTCTCTTCATCGGAGATCCTTGGTGCAGGGCCAGTGGCTTGCCAGTTGCTGGGGCTTGCCCTCCACTGCTCTGCAACTGTGCAGGCCCAGAAAGGCCCTGTAAGGCCTGCAGCTGAGCGCCGAGTAAGCAGCACTCCTTACTCAGTGCTCAGCTGTAGACCCGCGTGCGTAGGCCCAAAGTGCCTGCACTGTTGCTGAGAAGTGATGGGCAAGCCCCAGCAACCACCCAGCCCCGTGTCAAGAATCTCTACCTCAGCAGCAGTGGCACAAGTTAGGTTTCCCAATTGAAGCAGGAAACAGCAGCAACCTTAAAACTATGGGGAAAGGGAGTATTTGAATAGGACTGCCCACCCATTGCTGCCAATGGAATGAGATATATGTGTGTGTGTATATATATATATATGTGGATGTGGGACAAAAAAACTCATTTGGAAAGGCGCAGTTTTTTGAAACTGTGTTCGAAAATGAAAATGGGGCCATACAAATTAAACAAATGGAAAAATGCTCGAGACTAGTAGATAAGCACTGCTATAGGACTCAAAATATAGCACAGCTAAAAGACCTCAGCTGTACATTTTTTTTAAAAAAAATTAAACATTTGCTAGAGAAAAGATCTGACAACTGGAATCACAAAATAAGATGTTTATTTTTAAAAAAATCTGAAAGTAGTGATCAAACTTTTAGTTCTCAAGCTGGTAAAGCAGAACATATGCATGGCAGACTGTTGCTTTTATAAGTAAGATACTGGAACCCTAGTATCTCTTCACTGAAGGCAGGACATCTTAGTAAATAATCCATAGGCATTTATTCAATTAGCAACTAGAAGAAAAAGTTATTTTTTCCTGGAACCTATCCCTCTGTACTGACTAAGCAACAAACAGTGATTTGCACAGCTGCAAACATTCTCCCCATATTTTCCAACAGATATATAAGCTGCTTAATACCTGAAATATAGAAAATGATACATTTCAAATTCTCCAACAAGTTCTCCATTCTTGAGAAAAAGACAGCCGATGCACATTTATACAAAAGTTTTTATTAAAAAACCAGTAAGACACTACTACATCATGACACTGTCACACTGGGCTTTAAACACAAGACTTGCTCTACAATACTGGGGTACAAAATGGGTGTGGGACATAAATCAAATTGATTCTTAAGCATAGCAATTAAAAAAATAAAAGACGGTGAAAGCAATTCTGTAATGACAACGCAATCAAACTTCTGGGGACCAACATCTTACTTCCAATTCAGGAACTTGATACAAAAATTAGTTTGAACTGCTATTAGCAGGCAGCATGAGCCACCTCAAAAATGAATCTTCAAATGACAATACTGCTTGTCCACCTAGAGAAAAAGAAAGAGTGGTCAATTTTTGAAGACATTTAATTGTGGCCAAGTTACACTGTTTAGATACCCCTACGTCCCACTATGCAAATACTGTATCAACATTAATCAAGTTCTCTTTAATTAAAGCTGAACAGGAGAGTCCATGAGCTGGAAATCCACATGTGCACCACTGTTTGGAAAAGGATCTTTCCACATATCTGAAATTACTCAAGAAATACTCGTTTATTCAACCAATACCATCAAGTAGTTCCCCAAACCATTAATACTCGACCACCACCAAGTTGTGCTACTTTGGCGAGTGGCCATCTTTGGCCCAACATTTCTCTTAAAAGACTTATACTGGCCAGCTAAACAGTGCTACTTGTCTATTACGAGAAATACAACAAAAAGAAAAGGTTAAGTGTATACTACAAATAAATATATATTGAAAAGTCAGAGGACTTGACACAACAGGACTTCAGCTCAAGAACATCTTGCAATTACGGCTACAACGTCTATAAAAATGGGAAAAGCAAGCATTAAAATAGATTAATAATAAAATATAAAATTAAGACTGGAAAATCCAGAGACAAGCTGTATCCTTAGAAGAACAAACAGTTAAAATTATTCAGTAAGTTGACGTATTTAACCATTACTGGGCCTGTAAAAAATGCATTAAAATTACGTTACAAGTACTCTGTTTTACAAGCAAAGAAATAAGTGAAGGCAAAGCTTGAAGTATCCATTTTATTATAATGTTGATACAGGATGTTGGAAGAGACCATACCAAACGGCAGCATTCGAGAGCGTGAGCATCTCGTACCCTGTCCGCATTGAGCGGGCCTGTGAGAATCGGGAAGTCAGCGCGACACAGGGCCTGCAAGGAAGTTCCCGCTGGCGGGTACAAACAAGGTATAATATCAGAGTTAGTAGGCAATACTATTCCGCTGCAATTCCTTAATTTGTACCCATTAGCAGTACTTTACCTGTTAATTTTACTGACTTGTTAATTTATAGGGCAAAAGGCAAAAGCTTAAGAGCGCCTGTGTTACTTATCTTCAAAGTCACTACGTTACATTATGGTAAGCACTTCTGGGTGCTGTGAAATTTTAAAACATCAATCATTACAATATCTTACACAATATATTGGAAGACTACTATTAATTTATTAAGGTCAGAATTCTGCTTACAAATCTAGAGCATACCTGTTTGGGATAGGCTGCAAATGGAATAATTTAGTACGGCTTGTAGCTATTTTGATGACCTCCTCTCCGAGACACCTTCCCGTAACCACCCTGCTGATCTAAGTAACAAAAAAGACATTAAGGATTGTGTTCCATAAAACATCCAGATATTTAAGCAGGCTTTTAACCACCTACTAGTCGCACATAGAACTGTTAGAACAGAGTCTTATATTAAACTCATCAGTTCAAATTTAATTAGTATGAAGTCATACACTTAATAAGATTAGCAAGGTTGTTTTTTTTTGGTCGTGTCAGGAACAACTTGAGAAACTGCAAGTTGCTTCTGGTGTGAGAGAATTGGCCGTCTGCAAGGACGTTGCCCAGGGGACGCCCGGATGATTTGATGTTTTATCATCCTTGTGGGAGGCTTCTCTCATGTCCCCGCATGAAGAGCTGGACCTGATAGAGGGAGCTCATCTGCCTCTCCCCAGATTCGAACCTGTGACATGTCGGTCTTCAGTCCTGCCGGCACAGGGGTTTAACCCACTGCACCACCGGGGGCTCCATTAGCAAGATAATTAAAGAGTTCTATATGTAAGATTCTCAAAATAAATCAACAAATTCATCAGGTTAAAAGGCTATACTTAAAAAAAATGCATGCCACTAAAGCAGTGGTTCCCAAACTTTGGGCCTCCAGGTGTTTTGGACTTCAGCTCCCACAGTTCCTAACAGCTGGTAAGCTGGCTGGGTTTTCTGGGAGTTGGAAGTCCAAAACACCTGGAGGCCCAAAGGTTGGGAACCAATGCACTAAAGCAACATTTTAGTCTCACAGCACAGAAGAAAGGATAAGCAAAAAGCATTTAACATTCATATCAAAAAGTATATGGCCAGGGCAAAAGTTTTATGTGAACTTAACTATACTAATCCACAGATTTTTTTTAAAAAAAAACCTTAAAAAGCCAGCTAGAAAAGTGCAAGCTTAACTGTGCACCTGTGCTGCCATTAGGGGAAGTCTGCTCAAAACAATACTATTTCTTAACTCACAGGTAACAGAAATGCAACCCTGTTACTACGCCTGATTAGCATTAATTCAGAGGAAATCCGGTTGGCCATTAGAGCCTTAGTTTCTACCATTGTCTCGGCTTTCAAAACTCCCCAACTTCAAAGTAAATTTACTTGCAAGTAGGTGCACCAGCTTTCTGCTTGAGCCAGCTTGTTTCTCCCATCTTTTTCCCCTTCTGTGTGCCCTGGCAGTTCTTTGTGCAGTATACTACAAGTGCACAAATAACAATGCAGGAACAAAAATTAGGGATGCAGAAAAAAACAATGCAGAAGCAGCCTTGCACAGAAATATTGGAAAAATTAGAACACTATCAAGGAAGCTGTCACCTTACAGATTGCTTAAAGAAATTCCCTCTGTAAAAAAGAGGTGCCGTATTTTGGTTGAAATGCTATTAAACTGTGCCTTTTATCAACCAAAAGTAAAAAATATATATACCCGAGACCAGCATTTCTCAACCTTTTATCCTGGAAGAACCTTTTTGCATAAAAATTATCCCATCACACTCTCTCATGCAGCCTGAGGGTTCCAGAGAAGCCTGACTGAGAATCCTTGTCCTAGACAATGATAGTTGTGCTGAAATGTGTTGCATTTAATTGTATTTTAAATATCAACACATGAGCATGCACTATCATATACGTACTGCTATAATCACCATAGCCGTAGTAGTTGTTGTAGCCTGTGTAGTCATAGCCTCCATAACCTCCATAGCCTCCACTGTTGTATCCATAGTTGCCATAGCCCTGATTCCAGTAATTACTGTATCCTGGGTTCCAGCTTTGATTGGGTCCTGTATGAGAGTTAAGAGAAGGGGTTTTCAGAAAATCTTGACACAATGTAACAGTTGGAAAATATATCATTAATTATACTAAATATTAAGGTACACATTCATTTGTGAGGGCTTTTCGTCCCTCAGATTTCAGTGTTTATATCAACATGCCAGTTATATTGAGGCTTACCTCCACCACGGCCACGGGCTCTTCCTGGAAATCCCCCTCGGACTCCCCACTGCTGTTGCTGTTGATATTGTTCTTTTGACATGGCTACTTTTATTTCACACTGAAAGAATGAGAACAAATTTATATAGGCAGTGCCATGCTTCCACAAAATTCTAGTAAACAGCTATTCTACGTTTAACATTTCAGAACACTTCAGAAGTAATCAGAAACAGCACTAATATGTAAACATAATATGATTTTAAAAAATACAATTGGATGAGAATTAGTTTTATAGCAAATGTTCATCAATCATAAAGATGCTGGTATTTTTTTGTCAGTGTTGAACTAACTACTACATAATTTTTAGCAGTTTAAATTTTTTTAAAGTAGCTTGCAATTGAGATGAAACTTCCAAGTGCACATAATAATATTCCTCAGCTGCAAAATCTGCAACAAAATACTGTATTACAGGTACATTGCTCTATTCACCCCTTTTTCTGGTAAATTTCATCTTCGGGTCAATCAAAATTTTGTAGTAAATATGCTCAAGAGTATTTAAAATGATTCTCATTCATTATATTTTAGTATTTCTACAATACCTGGCAGATCTCCATGTTAATACCATGAATGTGAATGAACCATTTGGACATATAAGCAGTATTTAGGGTGACTAAATATGTAACGATTCCAGACAATTCAGTAATTTCATTTAAAATTAGGTTACCAGATGCACTGGCCTAGTCACATTTTTACAAGTGTATTTTCCTCCTTTGCATTTACCAATAGGTATTGCCATCTGTATTTTTTCTGCCTACATTTAAGTCTTTAGAGCACTAGCTATAAACCAGGGCACAACTAGGTTTCCATTTCTAAAATGAAATTATAGGTTTCAGTTGTTGCATTTTCTAAAATGCATTCATAACTTGAAACTTACTTTGCTGAGACCAACATTGTGGTATTTTTTCTCCATAATTTTCTTCACTGGCTCTTCATCTTTGAAAGTAATGAAGCAAAATCCTCGGCGCTTGTTGGTTTTGTTGTCCATGGGAAGCTCTATCGATTCCACCTATCAAGAAACACACACAAACAAAAGAACCAATAAGCATCAGTGATTACTTTTCCAAAATTAACTAACACTGCCACCAGATACAAGTTAAAGGGGACATTTCTATGAAAAAGAAACAATTTTACGATTTCTAAAAATATTTACACTGTGACTAACAAATTGTAAGTACTTTGGGAGAACTCTAGAACTCTCAAAATTCTTTTCTGACTAGACAAACTGTCTCACATTTGCATTTCCACTTATTTATCTGAAGGGAATTACTATCCCCTAGTTAGCCCACTGAATTCACTAGCAAATTTCCAGTTTTTCCCCAATAGAATGGAAGTACCCTAAGGCTCTGGAAACTAATTACCACTAATCAAATTTATATCTACTGAAAGAATGAGTCACTGAAAAGTGATGTAGAGAAAGAAGAATATATGCCCTAAAATGGAAAAACAAAAGGAATAGGTTAGGAGGCTGATGTCACCAGAAAACTAATTATATTTGTATCAGAGCACTGGTGGAACAATAATAGATTTCTTCATATGTCAGTGAAGTGGATGAACAAGCTGCACATAAGTCTTACTTTCTGTCACGCAGCAAGCAAAATACACAAAGCAAGTGAAATGATTGCATTTCTAGGCAATGCAAAAGAATATAGAACTAGATCTTGAACAACTGTCCCACTTACCCAATAAAAAAACTACTGAGCTTTGCACATAACAGGGAAAACAGAAAATTATGAAAGTGGCATTTGTCTGCAATGCACCTTTAATTCCATTAACCGTGAAACACGTCACCTCTTTGCCAGTAGGTTTGTAAGAACGTACGATTCTCAAGTTAAATTGATAACACCTGAGTTTTAATATTTAATCGAATCATGTTTTAAAATCCTACTACAAAGCTGCCATTTTATCAGGAATAAGTTTGCAAGTAAAATTTTACAGAAATGGTAGATAGCAGGAACTTCTCCTTTTAAAGCACCATAAAGTATCTTTAAGATGAGATCTGCTTCAATTGTTTGTTATTTTGTGCCCTTGGGCTATTTCTGACTTATGGCCAAAAACAAACCTATAATGGGTTTTTCAGATTTGTTCAGAGGGCAACTGCTTTTGCTTTCCTCTGACGCTAAGATAGTGTGACTTGCCCAAGGTCATGCAGTGTCTTTCCATGACTAAGCAAGGATTCAAACCCTGGTCTCCAGAATCACACTCCAAAATTCAAGCCACTATACCACAATGATACCTACTTGTTTACTTACAGCATTTAGATACTATCCAGTTGCAAAAATCACAATACTGATCAAACTTGAAAACCATAAAGATTTGAAAAATCTATTAAAAATGCCAATGTGGATAGCCTAACAACAAATATTATTCTGCAATATTAACATAGGCAAATTTATTTATTTTTAAATGTTAAAATAACACTATAATCACAGTGGGCAGTTAACTTACCTCACCAAATCCTCCAAAGTATTCCCTTATTTTCTCTTCAGGTGTATCTGGAGACAAGCCCCCAACAAAAATCTTTTTAACTGGCTCTTTTGTTTTCATTGCTTTTGCTCTTTTAGGATCAATCACTTTGCCATTCAATTTATGTTCTTTCTGATCCATGACCTACAAAAAATTAAGAGATTTAAGAATGAGAAGTACTTCATAAACGAAAGCATCTTAAGTAACTTTTAATGGAAATTATTCAACAATTAATTCTCTAGGATTATATATTGTTTCAAAAGAACGTAATGCTTTGAAAACAAATTTACCTTGTCAACACTCTCAGCCTCCTTGAACAATATAAAGCCAAAGCCTCTTGATCGTCCTGTAATAGGGTCCAACTTCAGGGTGCAATCCACAACTTCACCAAATTTAGTGAAATAGTCCTTCAGATCTTTCTTCGTAGTGTCCCAGCTAAGGCCTCCAATGAACATTTTCCTAAAAGAAGAAATGAATGGTTAGGCTACGGAACTTGTTCTTATAGCACACAACATTCAAACTGCACACTTTCATACCAATCATTCACAACAAGACAACAAAGTATTTCATAAACTTACTTCAAATTTACGATTATGAGAACTTTTAAAGACAAATGGTTTGAGTCCACAATCCTGCTTCATGACCCAGAGTGAACTACAAAATTAAACGTATGACATATATGCCATGCTCTAATGGCAAATCCAAGAGAGGTAAGCTATTTATGCTATTATGAGCACCATTATAGGATTGTCACTGAATGAAGAGAAGATTAATGTGTTTTTCCAAAACGCTGACATGACCACCTGAACGATCATTATAAAATTCATCAAATACGATAACCATCTACACAAATATACTGACCTATCCTACAATTTCAATGCTTGGGTGGTTCTTTCAAAAGGAGGCATGTAACACAAACTTTACTAAACTGTACATCAAATCTAACCAGAATGTATCTTAACAAGAGGAAAGGTAGGCAGCTAAGTGTCTTTCCAGCGTGTTTCTATGACACCTTCAGCCTGACCAGCAGAGCTTGCCTTATGGCAACTGCAAGCTAAAATATTTAGGAGGGGCTCATGTGCCTAAGTCCTCCAAATCAGACCGCGCGATAACAGTAAAACCTGATTCATTCCTCTACTCTGTTAGCCAATACAAGGTTACACCCTGCTGAATAATACAACAATTTGCATTCAATGAGCATTCAGAACAAATTCCTATAAATGTTCTGTAACACAAGTTAACATAGTACGCACCAAAAAAACACTAAAAGTTGTGGAAATTAATTCCTATATGAACTAGTGTTGCTTATTTAAAGTACAGATATCATTATGACAGATCTCTGTTATATCAAATATACTACTTAGCAGCAATTTTCCAATAGGCTGGAACATGTTCTGCCACTCCCTGAAACACAGAAGCCAAACTGGTAATTTATTATGTAAGCTTCAAAAGTTCCCAAAGAAGCCCATGCCTGGAGAAACCCAATGCTCAATTATTCTGAGATGAATGGGAGGGGGGAGTTTGCCCATAAACCAAAAAAACTTTTTTTTACCCCTACTCAGAAAAAAAGAAATGAGCCTTATTTAGACAAGCTTTGCCTTTACCCAAGCAAACAGCAATGGCGCTCCTGAGCTTCAAACTGTGCCTTTGCCTGCAAGATTATGTGATGTAACGTGCCACTTTTAGGAAGAGTACCCACGTTCTGGGACAGATTTCACTTTCACATTAAAGAATAAAAAAAAGTGTTAATCGGTAACTGAGAACATGAATAGAAACAGCAGAATCTGAAATCTTCCTGAAGCTATCTTTTGCAGCACCTTATGAAAACAAGTATTACTAGAAGATAAAAGGAGGAACACTATTAGTTTAAGCTATTGATTTTAAGAGGAAATTCTATGTTGTGTAGAATATCATAATCGCATCAGAAACCTTCACTAAACACATGCTTGACAAGTGCCAAAAGCTGCTCACCCATCACATGCCACAGTAGGAATAGATGATTTGTTAATCCAATTTAGGTTTATAATAACACAACACAAATGAAGACCTGCTAAATTTCAAGATCCTCTTTGAATAAAGTCCAGTATGGAGAAGTGCCTAATGACGTTGGTGAACTACTTATTCCTGACTGAACCATAATCTGAGTAAATACATATGTTCTAAAAAAATTCATGTATGGAAACTGACAGAACACGGCTGCACAATTCTAAGTGGAATCACAGCCATACCAAAAGAGACTTAAACACACACCCCACACCAAGAAGGGTTACAAAGGCAAGTCAACCGTTCTTGTAAAAAGGTCGTACTTGCTCGCCGTGGATCAGATTCATATTAAAGGCATTAGACACCTGTTTTGCTTAATCTACACTTTTCCAGAATTTAACACAATGCACAACATTTATCCAAGAACAAATCCAGTATAGTTTATGAAACAGTCATACTAGGATTATGTTTTTAATGGTGTGAAACAACAACACACAGGATTATTTCCGCAAGGTTTTTACTTTCCACACTTCCACTATTTCAATCTCAACAGCCTCCCTTCCTGTATGCAAATACTAGTCTACCCCCCATATTTGCTATGTTTAGGGGTGCTCAGAAAAAGTAGAAAACTATGAATAAAAAACACTGTCTTAATGTGAGATAACATCTCACCGAGAAGCTCTACATGTACCAGCACAATTCTATGATCAACGTCTACTTGAAACTGACTACTGAATCAAACTGGAGGACATACAAATGCATAATGAAGTGTTCTTTATAAGAATCTCCAGTTCTCCAACACAACTCTACCATAGTCTCATTAGTGAACCTAGATTCCTAAGGGAACATATTGGGAATAATCAAATTTACGAAAGTGAAATCTGCAAACGCAGGTGGCCAACTGAAATATCCAAACATTTTTAGAAAGGTGGATCAAACTCCAGGATCCATAGTCCACATATTCTTAACAAATAGTTCTACTGGCTCAGGAAAGGACTAGATAGAATTCTCAAAAGCCATATTAAAACTGCCAGAAGCGTTATACCACTTCACATACAGAATTACCTGCAGTCGAGATATGTCCTCAGATTACCTAATAGGCTACTTTGTGGAGTCCAGTATACTACATAAAATTATGCAAGAGCAAAATATTTCATTAAAAATATAGTTTAAATATTTAAATGAGGCCTATTTTTCCCTTTAGTACCTTAACAATCATCCAAGCTAAAACCTTGACAAAAAAAATTGAGTTCTTGTATTTAATTCAAAGACGATCACCCTCACTGTAATATTATAGTTCTATAATTACTGCTAATAGTTCTTTCTCAAGATTAATCACAACACACTACTTAGGGAGTTCCAAATATATTAAAAATATTAAACTTCATTGCAAGGCTCCCAAAATATGTTAAAAAAACAGAAGGCCAACAAACACGTTAACAATCCCAATATTCCAAATCCAAGGAGGAGACTTACTGCATTTTGCTTCAACCTCAGCTTTTGAACCACAGCATCCCTATCTTGTAGCCTACATTACATTAATTAGGAATGAATTTTAAAATTCATTCCAATAATTTGGAATGAATTTTTCACTACAAAAAGTACTTGACAAGCTGATTTCCTAAATTAACCTTAATATTTTTATCCATTATATAATATCTGTAATATGCGTTTGAGGAAACAAGTGATTGCACTAACATACCATATAATCATCATAATCACATTACAAACCACATAATCAAGGATCAAAAGCCTTAAATACAATGCTACTTATTAGTGGACAACTTAACCATTAAGCTCTCCATCTTCTTGCAGACATCCTCATAGGAGAAACAGCAACATGTTCTAATTGTCAACAAAAACTTCTAAATATGAAAAAAAAAGTCTAAAAATATCACACGCAGGCACTGATGCAGTGCCAAGGTGATAAGATTTAATGACAGCACAAAAGATTAGAGGAGAGTATTCATATGAAAACTGAAAAGAATATATTGTGTCCTACAATGCAAGAATTTCTGGCCCTCTGTGTATATAACATAAATACTTGATTTAAAAGTCTCTTGCAGCATAAAAGAGAAAGGGAAAGAAAAAAGAAATGTGGCAGCACCTTTAAGACTAACTGGTTTTTATTTTTCCACGATCTTTCATGGGTATAAACACTTCTTCAGATGCAGTATGTGGGATAAACATTTATGTCATGTAACTCTAATAACAGCTGGGTATCTTCAGCTAGCCATCTGCTACATTTGACAGAGGCCTGTTAACACATTATCTCTCACAATTCACAACTGCGCTCCAGTTTGCTCTCTTCTAACCCCCTTCAAGCTTGTTTGTTTTAAATCACCCAATTTCTTTTCATTCACATTGATCAAGACCACAGCTGTGCAATTACCACATATGGCTTGTCTGAATGCATTTCCAAATCCTGTTTTAAATACTATAAAGCATTTGGGACATGATTTATTTCAGGACACCATTAACTCTGTATATAGTTTAGATCCCTGTCTAGCAACTGAATTACATTTAAAGCACAACAATCCAAAGGAGCTCTATTTTCTTGCTTGTTCTACTCAAAAACATTATGGGGCTGCTCATATATTTGCTTTTGTCATTGATCAATGTTTTGCATTCTGCCTTAAAATACATTTAAAACAAAAACAAAATCCCCCAACTGAAGTATGTTACAAGACATTTTTTATATGTGTATATTAAATCCATGAACACTACTGCTCTACTGGGGTGTGTGTGTGTGTGGGGGGGGGGGGTTGCATGTTGAGCCAAATACTGCTTGAATATCCCTTATATGAAATGTTCGGGGGGGGGGGGTTCATATATGTATTTACAAGTATGTCCATAAGTACTTATCTTGGAAACAGGATCCTAAATAATATGAAATACATTTATGTTTCATGTACACCTTATGCAAATACCCTGGAAGTACTTTTACACACAATATTTTAATACTTATATGCATGAAGCATACCTTCTGTGCACTGAATATCAGGAGACAAAGGTGACACTATCTTAGCCACCATGTGAATCATTTTTAGTATTTCAGAATGCTAGGTAAGAATGCTCAATCAGTACTGGCAGCATACATGTTGCCTTACAAAACAACAAGCAAGAGAAATCAAGCTCCTGCCATGAACATCTAGATGAGTCCTTTAGAATTATAGAGTTGGAAGAGACCCCAGAGGCCATTCAGTCAAACACCCTGCAATGCAAGAAGACACAACAAAATGGCTCCCAAACACATGGCCACCCAGCCTCCTCCAGAAAAAGAGACTCCACTACATTCCCAGGCAACATATTCCATTGTTGAAGAGCTCTTACTGTCAGGAAGCTATTCCTAATGTTTAGGTGGAACGTCTTTTCCCTCAATATCCTTTATCTATCCTTGGTTGAGATCAAAATGTTTAAAATACATTACCCCTTAATGTCCTCCCTTCAACCACATTACAACACAAAATGGACAAAGCAGAAATAAGTGGGAATCACTCCTTGTTAAAGGTGCATAAAAGGCAGAAACTCTTCATCCACTGCATTGTTGCCATTAATCCAGACTCTGTCACTGTAGGCCTCAAGCGTACAATCTCATCCTTATAAAGCAATCTGAACAAACCAAATACTTGCAGTAACGTTTTTTAAAAAAAAAAAAACCCAAATTCCAAAAGCTCCTAGAATTTCCTTTCTTTGGCTTCTTGTTTGATTTGAATCACTTCAGAGAAAGTTCTCGTCTACCTTGCTGCTAAGGCAATTTCCAAAGAGCGACATAAACAAAGCAGAGGAATTGGTGATAATGTACAGGAGAGCCCACAGCACTCTGGAGCAACTTCCCATAGAAAGCAATGCAGTTGGCCCTCATATCCAGATTCAACCACCAACAGCATAAAAACTGCATTTTCAAAACATCCCAAAAATCAAACCTCATGTTTTGCCAGTTTACACATATCACTATGCTGTTGTATATAATGGGACTTGAACATCCACAGATTTCGGTATCCACAGAGGTCCTGGAAATGTATTGCTACATTTAGAATCATAGAATTGGAAGAGACCACGTGGGCCATCCAGTCCAACCCCATTCTGCCAAGAAGCAGGAAAATTGCATTCAAAGCACCTCCGACAGATGGCCATCCAGCCTCCGTTTAAAAGCTTCCAAAGGAGCCTCCACAACACCCCGGGACAGAGTTCCACTGCTGAACAGCATTCACAGTTAGGAAGTGCCTCCTAATGTTCAAGTGGAATCTCCTTTCCTGTAGTTACACAACCACCGATCATTTCAATTTCCGCCTCTGCAACCCAGCATTCCTATGTTCTATTGGTATACCACAACCCAAACGTAAGTCAACAGTGTGATGTGGCAATTTAAACAAGCAATGCAATTCTAGGCTGCATCGATAGGAGCATGCTGTCCAGACTGAATGAATAGCCCCACTCTTTTAAAAGTAGGCCTAACTAACAGCACACCCCATACTATATAATAAACTCTGTACCAATGTGATACTAATATTAAAATATAGTAATCGAAAGAAAGTAAAGACAAACTTTATGCCACACAGTTCTGCTGTATTATACATGCATTTATATTTTTTATTTAAAGCATTACAGTATTAGGGAGAAAATCCAACAGTGGAATATGCTGCTGCCTAGGAGGATGGTGAAGTCTCCTTCTCTGGATATACAATATATAAAACATGTATTAATCCAGTAATGAAAGGATTAAGACAAGGCCAAACTTAGCTTACAGTTAGACTGTGCAACATGATTATACGTGTATTTTAATTTTTGTTTAAAGAACTGGAGACAGTGGAATATGCTGCAGCCTGGGTGGATGGTGAAATCTCCTTGCTTGGATATATAATATATATTAATGTAGTAATTAAAACATAAAGATAAACTTAACTTAATCTGTGTAACACTGATATATACGTGTATTTAAATTTTTGTTTAAAATATGCTGCTGCCTGGGTGGGTGGTGAAGTCTTCTTCTCTGGATATACTGTTACATATATAGTAAGGTAAAGGTATTCCCCTGACATTAAGTCCAGTGGTGTCCGATTCTGGGGTGTGGTGCTCATCTCCATTTCTAAGCCGAAGAGCCGGCGTTGTTCATAGACACCTCCAAAGGTCATGTGGCCAGCATGACTGCATGGAGAGCTGTTACCTTCCCGCCAGAGTGGTACCTATTGATCTACTCACATTTGCATGTTTTCAAACTGCTAGGTTGGCAGAAGCTGGGGCTGACAGCGGAAGCTTACGCCGCTCCCCGGATTCGAACCTGCGACCTTTCGGTCAACAAGCTTAGCGGTTCAGTGGTTTAGCCCACTGCGCCACAGGGGGCTCCCTTACATATATATAGTAATGTAAATATTAAGACAAACTTAACATACAGTAAAAAGGTAATACGATTATATATGTATTTTAATATTATATTCAAAGTATAAGGAAGAACTGGGGACAGTGGAATATGCTGTTGCTTCTGGGCGGATGAAGCCTTCTTCTCTGGATATACTCTCATATATATAGTAACTAAAATATTAAGACAAACTTAATAGTAAAACTATAATACTGTAATGCATTTAAAGCATAAGGAAGAATTGGGGGCTGGATGATTGGTGAATTCTCCTTGCCTGGATATACTATTCTATAATATAATACATATTAATATTGTAATTAAAAGATAAAGACAAACTTTACGTAAGACGTGTACCACTATTATATCTGCATTTTACTTTTTTACTTAAAGTATTACAGTATGAGGAAGAACTGGGGACAGTGGAATATGCTGCCTCTGGGCGGGTGAAGCCTTCTTCTCTGGATATAATCTCATATATTATATATAATTTAAAATATTAAGACAAACTTAACATACAGTAAAACTGTAATATGATTATATATCTATTTTAATTTTTTACTTAAAGTATAAGGAAGAACTGGGGACAGTGGAATATCCTGCTGCCTTGGCGGGTCATCAAATCTCCTTGCCTGGATATTATGTAATATAATATATATTGATATAGTAATTGAAAGATAAAGACAAACTTAATTTAAACTGTGATAAACGATTATATGTGTATTTTAATCTTTTTTAAGTATTACAGCAGGAGGAAGAACTTGGGACAGTGGAATATGCTGCTGCCTCTGGGCAGGTGGTGAATTTTTCTTCTCTAGGTACACTATTACATACATACATACATACATACATACACATACATACATACATACACACACACATATATGCACACACATTGAAGTATTAAGGGAAACCTAACCTAAAATAAAACTGTAACACTATTGGGGGATGGGGGAGGGGATGTAAAATCAATAGACACAAGTGGGAGATAAAGGTGGATTAGGCATGGGTAAGAACACTAAGAAAATGATATTTTATATGTATTCTGAAATGGTGATAAATTGTGATATTTTTCTACCTACATGCAATAAAAAAGTATTTTTAAAAAAACTGTAACATTATTATATATGTATTTTATTTTTTTACTTTAAGTATTACAGTATGAATAATTTCCAACAATGGAATTAGTAATTAAAATATTAAGGCAAACTGAACTTACGGTAAAACTGCAACACTGTTATACATGTTTGTTTTTTTTACTTAAAAGTATTACAGTTTTGGGAAGAAATTGGGACAGTGGAATATGCTGCTGCCTGGGCGGGTGGTGAAATCTCCTTGCCTTGATATTCTATCTCATATATAGATAGATAGATAGATAGAGAGATAGATAGATAGATAGATACAAACTTAATTGAAATATTAAGGCAAACTTAACCTACAATAAAACTGTAACACTATTTTATATATATTTACGACATTTATATGCCGCCCTTCTCACCCGGAAGGGGACTCAGAACGGCTTACAAGATATATATACATACAATATATTATATTATTAGCACAGTACAATATCAGTATTAAATATTACTATGTTGTACTATACCATTATATTGTAATATTATTAGTAGCATTACATGAAATATAAATATATAATTATAGTATCATATTACTATTAGTATTATATTTCATTACATTATATTACAAATATATCTATATATAAGGTATTATATTACATTATATAATATTGTTAGTAATATTAGATTTAATATAAATATATAATTATAATACCGTATTACTATTAGTCTTATATTGCATTACATTATATTATAAATATTATATGTATATACAAGATATTATATTACATTATATGTTGTTAGTAATATTAAATTTAATATAAATATATAATTATAATATCGTATTACTATTAGTCTTATATTTCATTACATTATAATATTATAAATATATGTATATACAATATATTATATTATTAGCATAGTACAATATCAGTATTAAATATTACTATATTGTACTATACCATTATATTGTAATAGTATTAGTAATATTACATGTAATATAAATATAATATTCGTAATATTACATGTAATATAAATATATTATAATATATTACTATTAGTATTATACTGCATTACGTTACAATATTATAAATATTATATGTATATGCAAGACATTATATTACATTATATAATATTAGTATTATTACATGTAATATAAATATACTATTATAATGTCGTATTACTATTAGTATTATGTTGCATTACATTATATTATAAATATAATATATATAATATATTATATTACATTATATTAGTAATATTACATGTAATATAAATATACAATTATAATAGTTTACTATTAGTATTATATTGCATTACATTATATTATAAATATTATATGTATCTACAACATATTATATTACATTATATAATATTAGTAATATTACATGCAATATAAATATATAATTTAATATCATATTACTATTAGTATCATATTGCATTACGTTACAATATTATATATATATGTATATACAATATATTATATTACATTACATCTATATTATATTATTAGCATAGTACAATATCAGCATTACATTATATATTTTTTTTTAACTTTTTACTTCGAGTATTACAGTCTGAGGAAGAGCTGCGGGGGGAGGGGTGGGGCCTCTCTCTCTCTCTCTCTGGGAGTTTTCAAAGCAGAAACTGGATGGCCATCTGTCGGGGGGGCTTTGATTGTGACTCCCTGCATGGCGGAAGGGAATGGGGAAGCGGGGGGAGGGGTGGGGCCGCTCTCTCCCTCTCTGGGAGTTTTCAAAGCAGAAACTGGATGGCAATCTGTCGGGGAGGCTTTGATTGTGACTCCCTGCATGGCGGAAGAGAATGGGGAAGGGGAACACACACAACACAACACAGCACACACGCGTCGCGCACCCCCGTTTCCCAGGCCCGGTTCGGTTCGGTTGAAACATACCCAACGTACCCTTCATCCTCCTCATTCTTGCTGGCGTCGATTTTGGCGCCTTCGGATTCGCCGCCGCCCCCTCCGCCGCCGCCGCCTTCCGCGCCGTCCTCTTCGTCGTTCCCTCCGACCGCGACTCCCTCCAGCTGCTCGGCCTCCTCGTCAAAGGCCTCGGCAGCGCCTGCGTCGCCCATGAAGTCTTGGTCCGACATGTTGGGAGTTGAGGAGAAAGCGGGACTCGAGAAAACGGGGAGAAAAGCCGGCTCAAACTGAAGCAGTCGACTGCAGCCTCGCTCTCCTCTCTTTCTCTTCCTTTCTTTCTCTCACGCCTTCTCTCTCTTTCTCTCTTTCTCTCTCTCTTGCGCTTTAATGGCGCCGCCTCGCTGATCCCAACCTAAAATGGCGGACGGAAGGAATGCGGCGGCGGTGGTGGTGGCGTCGCGGTCACGTGCCCGGCGCCCTACTTACTGTCCCTCTCCCGCTCGCTGATTGGAGAACAAAGGAAAGCGCGCCCTGACGCGGTCTCTGATTCGTTAGGGGGAAGCGCGCGCTGGCCCGCTCCCTGATTGGCTAAGGGAAAGCGCGCCCTGACCCGCTCTCTGATTGGCCGATGGGAAGAAACGGGGAGCAAGGAAAGATGACGCCTGTCTCGCGTGTTGGCCAAACATGGCGGCTCTCCCACAGATTCTAGGCAACTTGGGCCCTTCCTGCTTTGTGCTTTGGACTTCAACTCCCACAATTCATAGAATCAAAGAGTTGGAAGACACCTCAAGGGCTATCCAGTCCAATCCCCTGCCAAGAAGCAGGAATGTTGCATTCAAAGCACCCCCTGACAGATGGCCATCCAGCCTCTGTTTAAAAGCTTCCAAAGAAGGAGCCTCCACCACACTCCGGGGCAGAGAGTTCCACTGCTGAACGGCTCTCACAGTCATAGAATCAGAGTTGGAAGAGACCTCATGGGCCATCCAGTCCAACCCCCTGCCAAGAAGCACGAATATTGCATTCAAATCACCCCTGACAGATGGCCATCTAGCCTCTCTTTAAAAGCTTCCAAAGAAGGAGCCTCCACCACACTCCGGGGCAGAGAGTTCCACTGCTGAAGGCTCTCATCCAGTCCATAGAATCAAAGAGTTGGAAGAGACCTCATGGGCCATCCAGTCCAACCCCCTGCCAAGAAGCAGGAATATTGCATTCAAATCACCCCTGACAGATGGCCATCCAGCCTCTGTTTAAAAGCTTCCAAAGAAGGAGCCTCCACCACAGCTCCGGGGCAGAGAGTTCCACTGCTGAACGGCTCTCACAGTCATAGAATCAAAGAGTTGGAAGAGACCTCATGGGCCATCCAGTCCAACCCCCTGCCAAGAAGCACGAATATTGCATTCAAATCACCCCTGACAGATGGCCATCTAGCCTCTCTTTAAAAGCTTCCAAAGAAGGAGCCTCCACCACGCTCCGGGGCAGAGAGTTCCACTGCTGAACGGCTCTCACAGTCATAGAATCAAAGAGTTGGAAGAGACCTCATGGGCCATCCAGTCCAACCCCCTGCCAAGAAGCACGAATATTGCATTCAAATCACCCCTGACAGATGGCCATCCAGCCTCTGTTTAAAAGCTTCCAAAGAAGGAGCCTCCACCACACTCCGGGGCAGAGAGTTCCACTGCTGAACGGCTATCACAGTCAGGAAGTTCTTCCTCGTGTTCAGATGGAATCTCCTCTCTTGTAGTTTGAAGCCATTGTTCATCCTAGTCTCCAAGGAAGCAGAAAACAAGCTTGCTCCCTCCTCCCTGTGGCTTCCTGTCACATATTTATACATTCCTAACAGCCAGTAGTTTTAAGTCCAAAACACGTGGAGGGCCCAAGTTGGCCCAGTCCTGAGCTAGAACCTATGGGTTTTTTTTTTGTTTCTGTTTTTTTTTTTTTTGGTCGTGCAAGGAGCGACCTGAGAAACTGCAAGTCGCATCTGGTGTGAGAGAATTGGCCGTCTGCAAGGACGTTGTCCAGGGGACACCCGGATCATTTTTTTATGTTTTTTATTTATTTATTTATTTATTTACTTCACTTGTATACTGCTATTCTCAGTACTTAGGCAACTCATAGCCGTTAACAACAATAATAGCAAAAATTCAATGCAGTATAACAAGGTATTTAAAAACAATTAACACAATAGCAGACTAAGCAATTAAACAACAATAAACATTCATTCATTGGCGTCTCATAACTAGAATCATGATCCAAACTTGTCATCCATAGTTCCATTTCCTAAAATTCATTGCACTGCCTATTCAAACGCCTGTTCAAGTAACCAGGTTTTCACTTTTTTACGAAATACCATCAATGAGGGAGCCAATCTAATGTCCGTGGGAAGGGCGTTCCACAGCCGAGGGGCCACCACCGAGAAGGCCCTGTCTCTCGTCCCCGCCAGCCGTGCCTGTGTTGCAGGCGGGATCGAGAGCAGGGCCTCCCCGGAAGATCTCAAAGTCCTAGTGGGTTCGTAGGCAGAGATGCGATCGGATAGGTAACTTGGGCCAGAACCGTTTAGGGCTTTATAGGCCAAAGCCAGCACTTTGAATTGGGCCCGGTAGCAAATTGGTAACCAATGGAGCTGGCGCAACAGAGGGGTTGTATGCTCCCTGGGTGCTGCCCCAGTTAGAATCATGGCTGCCACACATTGGACCAATTGAAGCTTCCGAGCCGTCTTCAAAGGCAACCCCACGTAGAGAGCGTTGCAGTAGTCTAAACGGGATGTAACCAGAGCGTGGACTACCGTGGCCAAGTCAGACTTCCCAAGGTACGGGCACAGCTGGCGCACAAGCTTTAATTGTGCGAATGCTCCCCTGGTCACCGCTGAAACCTGGGGTTTTATCATCCTTGTGGGAGGCTTCTCTCATGTCTCATCCGCCTCTCCCTGGATTCGAACCTGCAACCTGCCGGCACAGGGGTTTAACCCACTGCGCTCCTATGGTGAAAGACTGTTGGTATCTCAGCAAAATATACCAAGCATCCCAAGCTCTGAGGATTACCTGGGAAGGAATCCCACTGGAGCATTGCAGCACACCAAAATATCTGGGAGTTACATTTATATGCCGCCCTTCTCACCCCAAAGGGGACTCAGAACAGCTTACAAGATATATATACATACAATATATGTATATATATTGGATCCCCCAGTGGCACAGTTGGTTAAATCCCTGTGCCGGCAGGACTGAAGACCGACAGGTCACAGGTTCAAATCCGGGGAAAGGCAGATGAGTTACCTCTATCAGCTCCAGCTCCTTATGCAGGGACAGAGAAGCCTCTCACGAGGATGGTAAAACATCAAATCATCCGGGTGTCCCCTGGGCAATGTCCTTGCAGACGGCCAATTATCTCACACCAGAAGCAACTTGCAGATTCTCAGGTCGCCCCTGACACGAAAAAAAAAACCTGTGGACCGTGCTCTGACCTACAAGAAGCACTGCCTGAATATCAAGCAAAAAGTGGGCGCTAGAAATAATATCATACGAAACCTGACTGGCACAACCTGGGGATCACAACCAGACACAGTGAAGACATCTGTCCTCGCGCTATGCTACTCTGCTGCTGAGTATGCATGCCTGGTGTGGAACACATCTCACCACACTAAAACAGTAGATGTGGCTCTTAATGCGACATGCCGCATTATCACAGGGTGTCTGCGCCCTACATCACTGGAGAAATTACACTTTAGCTGGTATTGCACCACCTGAAATCTGCCGGAAAGTAGCAGCCAATAGTGAAAGGACCACGGCAGTGACATCTCCAGCTCATCCCGTCATATCAGCCAGCACATCAACGACTTAACTCAAGAAATAGTTTTCTAAGATCTACAGAGACACTTGCAAGCGAGAGTCCAAAAGTGGCAGGCTCAAACCCAGAACCTCAATCAATGGCTGATACCAAATGACAGACTCCCCCCTGGGCACACAGAAGACTGGGTGACTTGGAAGGCGCTGAACAGACTGCGCTCTGGCACCACGAGATGCAGAGCCAATCTTAAGAAATGGAGCTACAAAGTGGAATCCACGACATGCGAGTGTGGAGAAGAGCAAACCACAGACCACCTGCTGCAATGCAACCTGAGCCCTCCTACATGCACAATGGAGGACCTCCTTGCGGCAACACCAGAGGCACTCCAAGTGGTCAGATACTGGTCAAAGGACATTTAATAGAATACCAAGCTTGCAAACTTTGTGTTTTGCTTGTTTGTTAAAAAAAATGCAATACAACTGTTCGGTCTGCTCCTGACACGATAAATAAATAAGCAAACTATACAACCCAGGATTCTATTAACACAGAGTCCAAAAGTGGCAGGCCGTACAGTCAGGAAGTTATTCCTAATGTTCAGGTGGAATCTCCTTTCCTATAATTTGAACCCATTGCTCAAAGTCCTAGTTTCAAGGGCAGCAGAAAACAAGTCTGTTCCCTCTTCCTTATGACACCCTTTCACATATTTATACATGGCTATCATGTATCTTCTCAGCCTTCTCATACCCAGTTCCCTAGGCCGCTTTTCACTGGGTATGGTCTCCTGACCTTTGATCATTTTAGTCACTGTCCTCTGAACACATTCCAGCTTGTCAATATCTCTTTTGAACTTTACTGCCCAGAAATGGACACAGTATTCCAGGTGAGGTCTAATACAAGGGCAACATGACTTTCTTCGATCTATATATAAGACCAGTAAGCACTCATATCTGATCACATGGAATAATATTTTTAACATTAATATTTTTAACATTAAGGTGGATTAGTTGATTGGGCAGATAGGTTCTGGAGATAATATAAAAGCTATCTAAAAAGGCAAAGAGTTAGGATGTTTATATAGCCTCCAATACCGTCACTTTGCTGTCCCTTTTAGCTTTTTCCCTGCTCATAAATACTTGAAATACTTGAAATGCTTCCTAATGTCTTAATATGCTGTATTAGACTGAAAATGTATTGCTGTTTAAAGTCCTCCACAAAATGTCTAGAGATGCCTGCTAGTGATAAAGCAGATGATACATTTGTTACAAATGTAAGTTGGTATGTGAAGTTTGTTTCCAAACGGTACCAAATCTATCTGAAACAGTTTCTAGGAATAGCCCAAACAATTAAGCTGCCTGCTCATACTCGCATACCAAAATATCCTGAAAGACCAGTAGTTCATGGAGTCCATAACTAGAGTGCTGATGCTATATTTGCTTGTTTGGACTATACCAGTGGTCCCAAGCCTTTCTTGATCAGGGACCACTTTGACCAGGAACCACTCTCCAACATTTATACCAAAAGGGTTACGAATCTGTTTTTGGTCAACTTTAGATTCAGTTTGGTTATTTGGGGTGCTTCGCTTCTGGTGTGAGAGAATTGGTCATCTGCAAGGACGTTGCCCAGGGGACACCCGGATGATTTTTGATGTTTTTATCATCCTTGTGGGAGGCTTCTCT